GGCCCGTAATCCAGCACTCAGGAACTCAGGAGGCAGAGGCAGGAGGATCACTGCAAGACGGAGACCAGCCTGGGCTACTAAGTGAGCTCAAGGCCAGCCTGAGCTGCAGAGCAAGACCCTGTCTCGAAAAGACAAAAACAAAAGCCTTGACTTACAGCTTTGATAGCCAGCGTGCAGATTGTACCAGTTTCTCTTGTGAGCTGGTACCAAGTTACTTCACACACACACACACACACACACACACACACTCTCTCTCTCTCTCTCTCTCTCTCTCTCTCTCTCTCTCTCAGGACTGTGGGAAAGGGAACACCCGCCTTGTGGCCTGCAGAGGGGGTAGAGGCTGGAGCTGCCAGGCGCCCCTTGGAGAGCCAGCAAAGGCTGGCAGATAAGAAAGAGCTTGATCAGAAACAGCTCTGCAGTGGTGGCGTGTCACTCGTTACCGTTTCTTCCCAAACCTAGTGTCCATCATGGTGGTCGAAGTTGGCCCAGCTGTAGGATTCCTACTGCAGAAGGGTTTCCCTCGCAGTCTGGAACTGGTGCTAAACGCTGCCTACCTCCGAAGGCCGCGGTGACCCACGGGGAGGCCACGCACAGGACTGGCTCCCCATCCCTGGTGACAGAAGCACAGATGCCACCAGAAGCTTGAACCCAGGAGACCCAAGGTCAGGTCACCTTTGAAAAAGCACTGGCCAGGACATCTACCTCCAGGGAGATGTGGTACACACATTCCCCCATTCCTCTCCACTACATCTAACCAGATAGCCCTGGGAAAGATGCGCTAGGAGGTAAAAAAGACCCTGCAAGATGGAGAGAAGATGGTGGAGTAACTAGGGACTTTAGGACACAGAGATGACAAGGTACTATTCAGGAGGCTGACCCAAGGCCCTTCTTGAGTTTTCATCTTATGTCATATGTGCCAGACCCAACATTCATGCATTTACCTGTAACAGAGGGGTATTTTTTTTGGGGGGGGGGAGTTGTTTTGTTTTGTTTTGTTTTTTGCAGTACCAGGGATTGAACTCAGGACCTTGCCAGGCAGGGGCTTATGCCACTGAGCTATCTCCCTGGCCCCCTGTACTAGAGTTGAAGAAGCTGGCTACTGGAAATATCATGGGTATAGACCAAAAAAAAAAAAAAGCCAGGCAAGGTGGCACAAGCTTGTAATCTCAGCACTCAGGAGGCTGACCCAGGGCGCTCGCCATAAGATTTGAGGCCATTCTATGCTAAACGGTGAGTCCAAGGCCAGCCTGAACTATGTAGTGAGACCCTGTCTCAAACAAAACCAAATGGGAAAGGGCTGGCCAAATAGCTCAGCGGATTAAAGCACCTGCCTAGGCAGACATTGGGTGGAGAATTTGATCCCCTGGCCTGCTTGCTGGCTCTGCCCCCAGGGCAAGACTGGGCATTGTGTCCTGTGCCTGTAATCCCAGCACTTGGGAGGCTGTAAGCAGGAGGAGCACTACCAGTCTGATCTATGCAGTAAGACCCTGTATACCCTATACACCCTGTCCTAAAAATACAAAAAAAACAAAACAAAACAAAAAACCTAAATGCGAGGCAAAAGGGCTGGAGATGTAGCTCAGTGCAAAGGCCCTGAGTTCAAGCCCTGTTATCACACACAGGGTTTAGCAAGACCCTGTCTAAAGGGATGTATCTCAGTGTGAAGGCTATGGGTTCAATCTCCAATACCATAAAAACCGAAAATAAAACAATAAAAGGGTGGGGCTGTACTTGCCTGTAACCCCACTGCTCAGAAGGTTGAGGCAGGAGGATTGCTGAGTTTGGGGACAATCTGCGCTACGAAGTGAGGCCCTATCTCAAAACAAAACAAAAATGTAGGTCTTTGCTCACGCTAAGCAAATGCTCTACAATGGAGCTAGTTCCCAGCCTTTTTTTTTTTTTTTGGCCATCAGGATTCAAACTCAAGACCTTACACTTACCAGGCAGGTGCTGTGACACTGAGCTATATCCTTGGCCCACCTGTCCTTTTACACTGCTCTTACTGTCTACAATTTCCTACAGTACTCAGCAATGCAGCAGGTGCACAGTAGGCCATCCCACACAGACTTGTGTTAGCACATTGTGTTTGTACAACATTGAAGCGCTGCGACCTCTTTCTCGGACTGTATCCCTGTTAAACAATGCTCAAGGAAAAACAGAATAAAAAGCAGACCACTTAGGGTGTCTGGTGGGGTGTGGGGGCAAGACAGGGTCTTGCTGTGTAGCCCATGCTGGGCTTGAACTCTCTGTGTAGCCCAGACTGGCCTCAAATACACAGTGATCCTCCTGCCTCAGCTTTCCAAGTACTAGGATTATAGGCCTGAGCCACCAGGACCAGTTTAATTAATCAGTTTATTTATTTTTGTATTTTAGGGAAGGGTCTACAGGGTGTTCAGGGTCTCACTACCAGATGGGACTCGTAGTGATCCACCTGTTTACAGCCTCCCAAGAGCTGGGATTACAGGCGCTGTGCCACCATG